CTTTTTTTTTTTCTTTTTAAATTTTAAAAACTTTGTTTTATATTTTAAGAACCTATAATATGCGATACAGTTTTTAGTATAAAATATCAAAGAATTAAATAGGCAATATACATATTACAATAGTAAATTTTTTATACAGTTTTCCACTGTGATTTCGTTTCTGTTTTGAACGAGTCATTGATTATTTTAAAAATATACGTGATACAGTTTACTTGCAAAAAATGATTTTTTTTTTGTTGTTGAATGCATGTCATCTATATGCTTGCTTAAAATTCTATGACACTATTACATTGATTTAGTTTTTCTCTGCAATTGATGTTAGTTTATTTGCTTCTAGTTATCTTTTTATCACCATATTAACAAAAATAACTTTGGTAATGATAGAATCAAACAATAATTCTCAAGTGATTCCAGCATTTGTAGGTGAAGAAAATGATAGAGAACTTTCAACAATAGCAATTGTGTCATTTCATTTAAATAGAAGCTCATGCTATATTCAATTTAAATACTTTTATTTTTGTTACTTAGGGTGTGTTTGGTACGAAGGAAAATATTTTCATGGAAAATGAGTGATTTTATTATTTATTTTTCCTTGTTTGGTTGGCGAGTGAAAAACATTTTCCGAATTTTTTTTCTAGTGTTTTGTTAGAAAGTAGAATTTTTTTTTTTAGGAAAATACTTTTATTTTGGTACTCTCTGCACCCTCCCCCTTCCTCCAAGTCCACATGTTTTCTTGATGCCTCCCCTCCCCNTAATTATTCTTCTAAAATTCACACAAAACCAAAGGAATTAATGCGATGCTTTACTTTTTAACGCAAAAACAACGTTAAATTTTTTGCTCCATAGCTAAAAGAAAGTACTCTTTTTTTGGTTGAAAAAAAGTACTCTTTCTACAACATGAAAATAAAGTACTCATTTTATTGAAATAAAATATCATGAAAAAAAAATACTCTTTTTATTAAAATGAAAGAAATTAGTTTTTACTTCATCATTTTTTGTTGAAATAAAAAGAAAATACTTTTTCTATATCATGAAATGAAAGTAATTTTTTTGTTTAAATAAAAAAAAATACTTTTTTATATCATGAAAAGGAAATACTCATTTGTTGAAATGAAAAAATAAATTTATCTATAACATAAAAAAAGAAAGTACTATTACTAATATTTTTATTTAGGGTGGGGGTGGGGCAGGGGTGGG